TTAAGACTCTGGGGAGTGATTTAGGCCTCTTGTCAGGACCAGAACTGCAGGATCAGTGAGAAAAAATGTACAAAGTGAAAAATACAGATGTTTTGTGCGCAACATTTGAAACCAAAGATCTCTGGTAGGCTTCACAGGGACCCAAGGTTTATTAATAGTGTCAGTGGGGTAGCAGATGATGAGCTGATATGTCAAGAAAGATTTATGTCCAGACTGATATTTGCATTTTAAAAAATGGCACTTTTTAATGGATATTATTGTAACTTTCATGCTCTTACAACATTTAATTGGAATCTACCAATGTGTATTGTAGCATTTTAGTATGATAGGCTCATATTACAATATTAAATCTTTCTATACAGTTTTACGACCGTACACAGACTTAAGCATGAGGGGATTTATTAGATTTATTCCAGGCCTAATGCTGTAACGCCTGCGCATCTTGGACTGAGTGCAAATATTCTACCTAGATGGTCAGAGTGTCAGCCGACTGTCTTGGCTGTGACGGTAGTAGAGATGGTTGTTTACACAAAGCATATTTCCAACCGTCTGGAGCATTATCTCTCCAAGGAATTTTTAAGGCCACACTTACGGGCTCGTCAACGTCAGAGAAGAAGACAGTGTTTGTTACTTTTAGTCTGTATGTAATGTTTTATGATTCTCTTGGCAGAGTTCATCAAAGATGAACAAAGCAGAGATTATTTAACCAGTCTGTGAGTTCATATATTCATAATGAACCACATTAATACCATACTTAAGTGAAAGGTTTAGGCACTTGTAAGTATTTCCTTTCCTACAATTATATGTATACTCCACAGCAATTACGACGGAATATTGTAGCCTTTACTCCACTACATTTATCTGACAGCTTACAGTATGAGTTTCTTTACAAATAAAAATTTTACATTCATAACACATGAGTTTATTAACTACAACACTATGTCAAATAAACTACCCAACAGCATATAAATCAACTTAAATTGGCTCCACATTGACAGCAACAAAATGCTGATTTACAATGGTGGCTCACAGGGGCCATTTGTCTGCGTGGAGCACTTTTACTTTTGCTACTTTCAGTGCATTTTATAACCAACTTACATTTATTTAAGTATCATTTTGAATGCAGGACTTTTAATGAGAAATTTTGTACAGCTGATGCTACAAAAAAGTAGCACTGAATACTGCCTCTGCTATATTGCTCACTCATGATTCAAGATATGTTTTTAGAAAAATACCATTCGTAAATTCAGTATACACAGTACCCTCTGCTGTGCTTTTATCTAAGGAAATATTAAAAAGGCTTGATTTTTGTTAGCACAGTCACTGTTATGCCAGGAGATGGACCAAACACAAAGGCTAAGATGAGCTGTTTGGCAAGTGGTGTGTAGCCTAACGCAAACGTTATGCTAGTTTTATTCAAGCTAAGTTCTTTTGAAGCTAGCTAGAAGATAAGACAACTTATTGTAGGTGTGCCTATCCACAAGTAAAACTATATGCCTACCAAAAGGTAACACTACGAACTAAAACATAAAGTATTTTTAAAAAAGTATGTTTATGGTGAAGCTAGCTTAAGCATGTTAGCATTAGCCACATTAGCTAGAAGGCTAACAAGATATGCAGAGCCTCGCTCTCAGCCCAAGCTGAATAAGGTACCACAGGCATGTAGCTTACATACAGTATATCACATTTATACCACAATAATAAAAACAAATCCTCAGCTTACTTTGATCAGAGGTCTCCAGGGGCCTCATAAAGCCGGATTAGTGGGTTAACTAGCCCTCTTTGCTGAGTCCTTGCTGAGGCTTACAGGTGTCACGAAACTGCTCAAGTTGTAACTCCACTGTCACCATTTAAACAATGTTACACGCGTACCAGGAGTTTTATTCAGTCTTACAATAACTGACCTCTAATAAATGGACGGTTGCTGCAAATTTATCTCAGTAATAAAGAATTTAGTCTAGTGTTGCGTACCTATTGTGGTGGCTGATAAAAAATAAAGACACAACTCATTCAACTCAAAGATGCTGGATCCTTTATTTAAAAAAGAAGACCAGGGCAACACTTCAAGTTGACTTTTTAATATTGCCAAAGTCCTTTTTAAAAGGTATTACATTGGTTTTGATTTTTTTATTCAGTGATTGGTTGTGGTGTATGGACTACATCTGTTTTATTGAACCCAGGAGAACATGAAGTACCTTGGCAAATAGAAAGTTTCCATCATCAACAAAGCATCAGTTTATTTAAGCCTGTTTTATTCCTTCTGTCCGCAGTACTCAAACAGTGCTCTTTGCACTGGCAGCAAAAATGTTGCTACTGTCATACAGCATTTCTTCACTATACAAAACTTTTCCCCCACATTCCACCTGTAAGCTACTTTAAAAATCTCTGGTAAATATTGTAACCTCTATAATTACTCCACATTTATTAATAGCTGATTGCTTAATCTTTAGCCTCACTAAACCACTGTTTGCTTTTGCAATGATCTGATTTCCTCGCTGGTATTAACTGTTTCATTTTATCTTTAGATTAAATCATGTTATCAATCTGTTGTCGCTGCTGCATGTAATGAGCTATTGACATACAAATCTTGACTGAATACTAATTTACCAGACTTACAGAACTTAGTTCGTGAGACATGCAGGCCCAGGAGCAAAGATGTGTCACAGATTATTTGCTTTACTCAGTAACATTCAGAAACTCTTCTGGACTCTGTTTTCAGGAACTCCAGTTTATTCATCTTTGTTTAATTCTTTCATTTTTCCCAGGTTTAAATCCCAGTTAGGAGCTGCTATAAAAAAATATTCAGGAACATCATACTAATAACAGAAGTAGTCACAAGTCCCCAGTGCATATTAGTCTTCTTGTGTGTAAATGGTTTACAGCTGATGGGATTGAACCCCCGAAAGCTGACACAACTGCCCATACAAGGACAGTTACGTCTTCCAAGGCAAGTGTGGGACTCCTCCTCACTGACTGATTGGGTGCAGACACAACACTCACAGTATCAATATTCAGTAACATCTTCAGAAGCAGAATCATGTGCAACACATTGTCGTTACACACAAATGTCAAGAAACAAATTATCTTGGCTACGTACTTGAAAGTTGTAATTCCCTGCTGGACGATGAATTTAGTCACAGTACTGCAGTTTTGCAATGTCATAGAGAAATTTCCTGAAGAACTACATGACATATTTGTGTACAGAAAGAAGTAACCAACAGCTTCAGGCTGTGTCTTTCATTGATCAGAATCACACAAGCACAGGATATAAGTCATGAGTTGATCTTCAACTTGATTACATTTTCAGTTAATTGAATAATATATTAAACTTAGACTAGTTACTCTTGGCATTAGGGATCATAAAACATATGCATTTAATCTATAATTTTTTTAGGATTGTAATGTTTCGGCAGGGGAAGAAGCACCTGCAATGTAATGACTTTTGTTCAAAGCCATGCAAGACAATGCTGCACTGACCATGCTATTCCAAGCATGAAACCTACATTACATCTGTCTGCACAGCCGTGGCCAGTAGAAGTTATTGAACTCCTTTCACATCTGTTATTCCAGATATGCACTACACAGTCACTGTACTATAGGCAGTGAATTTAAAAAATGAACAGCCGCTGTTGAGTTTTGGAGCTAAACCCCAAGTACACAACACAAAAATCTTGTATGAGAATGAGAATGAGAATACTTATAATGTACCACCAAGCAGATGCTGTATCTGAAATGGTTGTTTCTTTCCTTTTAACAGCAGACATGTTGACATCATAGCAGAAAAAACACAGGTGTAACTAATAACATTAACAGCAGCTGCACTCCATTTAGTTGTCACACTTCGAGGGCCCAGGTTATGTGCATGCCAGCTCATTAATATTCCAAGTTACACCTGTGCTTTTCTTGCTATAGCAAAGCAAAAAGATCTCGAAGGCCCAAGGACACCTGCCATCTCTCCTTTCCTCTCCTCTGCCAGATTTTCGTGGAGGACGTTTGGGAGTTTACTTGCTACGGCATCATCAACAATGGTCCTCTGCCAATGATAACATGATCCTACAATAACTGGCAGCTCAAGCCAACAGTATGCAGCCTCAGAGCCAGAGATGCGAAACTTACAAGTCAGGAAATAACACTGACGTGATGCAAAGTGATAAGCAAACATTAACAAGCTGTTACCTCTGGTTGTCGGGTTTATTTTAAGTCTTTATATCATCTGATTTACCTTCAGTGGTTGTGATGTGACCTCTCTAACCCTATCTCAACAAAAATATATAACATGGAGAGGACACTGCTGCACATCCTTGTTTCAAATAGCACTCAGCAGCATTAGTTTCCTGTACAGAAGGTTACCAGTAGACAAGTCATCTATTTCCTTTACATAGCCTGCCACCTTGTGCTGACAGTCTGTACTGCATTGGGGCTTGTTTGAGCAACATAAACTGTACATGCTGTATATGTTTATATACACACATATGTGCACATATTTACACTTGGGAGATATCCATAGATGTTGTTTACACAGTCTGGTGTATAGATTAAAGGTTTTGCTTTAGAGCACCTCAGCAGCTGTAATGAAGGAGGGTGCTGATTATTTGTCAAAGGTCAATAAAGAAGCTGTAGTCATTTCATTGTATTTATATTTATAGCTGTATACCTTGTTGATAGATAGATAGATAGATAGATAGATAGATAGATAGATAGATAGATAGATTCAAGTATAAAATGTGCAGTTTCAAAATAACAGTAAGCTGGTAGGTAACGTTACATATTTATAATTCTTTTTTTTTGCAAAACATCACACCAAAAAATATTTAGTTTATGCCTTAACTGTATCCATTTCAATATTTTTAACATTTAATTTGTTTTTCCTGCTGTGATATAACGTGGTTGTACATTTTGGTCGACAAATGTGTTTAAATATGTTTGCTTTAGGTATTCCGATAGGCATGAAGGCAGCATACGAGATGCGTTCAGGTTCAGCCCACAATCGACGTCACTGCCACCGCCACCATGTTGGATCAGGAAGTAGGCAGAGCCGAAGCAGGAATCCCGAGCTGAGCTTACCGTCAGCGGCCGTGTCTCTTCTCGGTCGACCGTTTCACCGTTCTCACCTTTAATATTCAGGTTACATGCTGCGTGGCCTCCTGGCTGGTCGAGGTAGGCGCTTTTCTTCGGATTTGATCGTTGTGCAGCCCCAGCTATGACCACTCTGACGCATCGAAACTCGGGCCTCGTCCAGCGGAGGACCGAGGCCATTCGCAGCGCCGCCGCCGACAGAGAGAGGGAGTCCGACGGGGAGGAGGACGAGGCGCGCCGCGGGGAGGAGGCGGACGACGACGACAAGGGGGACTCGAAGGAAACCAGGCTCACGCTGATGGAGGAAGTGTTGCTCTTGGGCCTCAAGGATCGAGAGGTGTGGGCTGTTTTTAATCCGTCAACAAGGATAGCTACTAACTTAGTAGCTGAACGCCAGTTTACCCAACATTAGCTAACACCATGTTTACGTTGCGTTAACAGCCGTGTTTGCAAATGTCAACAAAGTTAACTTAGTTTGTTGACGCTAGTTAATGTCTCCCAGATTTATACGACCACGGCAGTTGAAAGTGTCCCGGTTTAAAGGCTGTTTAATGTTAAATTGAAAAGCCAAATAGCGTGTCGAACTAAATGCGCCGTGTAGATAGCAAGCTGATAATTCATGTGTCGTTGCGTTATGGTGTTGCTCGTTAATAATGGTTGTCTGAATGAAAGGAATTAGCCGTCGCCGTTAAGTTAATTAACCCATTTACTTTCTACTAAGCCCTAGTAGCCTGCGTTACCTGGGCACTTTCTTGACAGCCTGCCAGCAGTAGCAGCAGCGACGCGACTCCTTTGCAACCTGGAAGTAATCAAAATACAAGACAGAGCAACCAACACGTCAGCTATGTTAACAAGCGCTGCACCTTTTCTCCTCCTCCCAGGGATACACGTCTTTCTGGAACGACTGTATTTCTTCCGGGCTTCGCGGATGTATGTTGGTCGAGCTGGCCCTCCGAGGGAGGCTGCAGCTGGAGCCCTGCGGTGTGAGGAGGAAAAGCCTGCTCTCCAGGAAGGTGAGGAGTGTGGAGATGTGATCAGGTGTTCCGAGTAAAGTCAAGCACGACCCTGTGTTCAGTCTACCCTGTCAAAATGTTCTTATATGGCACAAGACACTTGATACCCCTCAATTTTCTTCCTATGAGCAGGAGGATTAATTTCTTCTGTAGGGATTAGTAATAGTCTTCTTAGCAAGAAATTAATCCCTTTTGCTAAGCCTTTTTTTGCTGGAAAGCACACACTGTTTGGTGGTTCCTGTTCACACAGGATGTGAGTTTAGGTGTAAGTGAGACAGACATTAGCAGCCGTCCAAGTACAAATATGTCTTCTTTTGTTTGCAAAGGTGATCTGCAAGTCAGACGCCCCGACAGGAGATGTGCTACTGGACGAGGCCTTGAAGCACATTAAAGAAACCCAGCCTCCAGAGACTGTCCAGAGCTGGATAGAGCTGCTGAGTGGTGAGATAAAACATACCAAGATAATACCGTACATGTTATTATCACTATAATGAATATTCATTTATTTGTTTGTAAGGTACAAGTACAGACGAAACATTGACAGTCGCAGAAGCAATGTCTGATGTACTGTACACGTGTATGTAGCCTAAGCTAATTCCAACACCAGTCCCTTGATGGGTACTGGTAATTCGTGTAATCATTCAAATGACATGTTACAGTTTGAAATCTTGAATTTGGTGCATATGATTAAAAACAACCGCCCATGACAGCGCACAAACAAACATTCAGACAGGCTAATGAAACACACAAAACACAATGCAAATCATCAAGTAAAGTAGAAAATGTCTTAAAATCTTCAATTTGTTTTGAGTTAGCAGGTAGGGAAATTTAGAGAGTGGTACCTTTAATTGAGGACGCAGTTTGTGCAAATGTAGACTCACAGTGTCCAATTCTACAATTTCCTCCTGATGTATTTCCGATGTTAGTGGCATCATAGTGAAGTCTATTTCTGAAAGTGTTAAACATGGGTGGAGCTACATGGTGGAGATATTTGAATGTAGGTGTTAGGTTGGAGTAAATGGTAAATGTAACGCCTATCTTATCTTCTGACCACTTCGAGAATTTCACACACGGAACACAAGCACCATTTACCTATTTACACACACGTACACATTCAAACACTGGTGGCCAAAACTACCATGCAAGGTGCCACCTGCTCATCAGGCATTCACACGCACAGACACTCAATTAGCCAAAGGAAACCTAGACACGTTAACCACAGGGGCCTGGGATTGAACCCCTTACTTTCCAACTGACAAGACTGAGAAGGTTATACTTCTTTAGGGTATAACAATGATGAAATCTTAGGCTCCGTGTCCACATAGACTTTTTCTTTGGCAGAAAAGCAGTGGCAGTGTGCTAGGGTGTGCTTGATCCCAGTGTTTCATAAAAAGAACTCTCCCAGCACTTTTTTAATGACGCGCTAGGTTAGCTGGGTAGCTAACTACAGAGCTTACAACACATACAGTGATAAAAGCACAACACTCACTAGCAACATTCAGTGTGTGTAATTGTGATTATATTTTCTGACTTGCGAATCATACAGCCCAGGATAGAAGCTGAAGCTGAAGGAGCTGCACTAACAAGATTTTCAATTACAGGTGCTCGAAGTGGCTGCAAAAAATACAAAGTGCTCTGAAAAAAGATGCTGGCGCTCAGAAAAAAATGGGATGTGGACACAGGTCTTGAGTGGTTTGTCCAGAACTTTGATAGCTTTGTTTTAAACGGATGTTGATGGTTTAATGATGGAGGCTGAAGCCTGAGACGAAGAGGTTATGCAGTAATGACAGTTGAGGAAAAAAAATTATTGCATGCTTTTTTTTTTAAGTGTCTTATTTGCTGAAAGGTTTGATGATTAGCCTTAACAGTTCACCCCAAGTTTTTTATGTGTTTGTTAAACTTTAGCAGAGAGTCCAAAACAATTCTAAGATACTATAAATCCTGTACTTCCTCAAATTCAGTATGTTTTCTAATTTAATATGTTTCACTGTCACTTTTGTCAATGTCACCACTGTCCGTACTTGGGAGCTTTCTAGTTGAGAAATACACAGAGACAGTTTCCTCAACATTCAGTGTTAGGCAGGAAGTGTCAAGCCGGTTTGTCACCTTGCCCAAGCAGTCTGTTAGTTTTGCGGTAGCGTTGGTAGGTGTTTTTGCTGCTACAAAAACAGTATCGTCAGCATACATTTGTAGCCCAGCGCAACACTCAGCGATGTCACTGATATATGTGGGTGATATATTTTCATTTTGATAGTGGATTTCGCTTGTTGTAATATCTCAGTTGTCAGTATAACTTTATCTTGAATCAACTGACACTAGTTGACAGAGAAGTGATAATTGGTAATATCAGAGTTTGTGGGGATTGTCATTAACAACATTAAAACAAATAATAAGCTGGAAGCGGTAGCATCAACAATTTTCAATTAGCCAACATGAGCCACTTGAGACTATTGAAGTTCTAAAATGACATTGGCTGTGTGTCGGTGTGTGTGTTAAATCACCTACAACGGATCTCATGTTGTCCTTTAGGAGAGACCTGGAATCCCCTGAAGCTGCACTACCAACTGAGAAACGTTAGGGAGCGTCTGGCGAAAAACCTGGTCGAGAAAGGTGTCCTTACTACAGAGAAACAGAACTTCCTGCTTTTTGACATGACCACACATCCGCTCACCAACAGCATCATTAAACAGGTAAGGTGTGGGGATGTTTAGTAACTCATTGATAAGCAGTCAAGTTGATAAAGCTTTACAAATAACAGAATTAAAATGGTTTAAATTGGTGTTGTGGGAGACTCTTGACTGAGAGGTAAAAAATTATGGCACAAGCAGTGTTTTTATGCACAGTCTGCAAATATGAGGATTCAGTCTTTTATGAGAGTCACAGCCTCCGCACAGTAACAACTACAACTGATCCTGTTAAAGTTTAACTGAAATTATGTGTTTAATAGTGAGCGTTAGAGCTGCTGTTTGGCGGACATTTTTACCTTTGGACAGAGCCAGGCTAGCTGTTTGCTCCTCCTTCTGGTCTTTATGCTAAGCTAAGCTAATCGACTACTGGCTGCAGCTTCATATTAAAGGGTAACTTTGGTATTTGTCAACCTGGACCCTTTTTAAGTGTTTTTCTATTGTCTAAGTGACTAATGGAAACTTTTTTTTTTTTTTTAAAAAAAAGGTACAGTATTAAAGGAGAGCGCTGCAGCTGGCAGGGTAACCACTCTGGGTATTGGAACCATTAATTCCTGTCCGCTTAAATTTAAGTGCTTGTTTTTGCCACTGACAGGCTCAGATTGTATTCTAAGTGTCTGACAATGTTATGGAAAAGATTCCTACAGAGACAGACCTTTATGTTAAAGAGTGAGATCCTTTTTGTTTAACCAGAAACAGCCCCGAAATTGCTATCCGCAAACCCACCAGACCGTATTTAGATGAACAGCAATGTTAGCGTGTGTAGAGCCAACATATATTTTACATGTAACTGGGTGAATTAAGGGTTTAACTCAACCAAATCAGAGGTGGTGATTGTTGGAACAGTGGAAAGACGAACCAACAGGATTTATTGTGAGTTTTATTTTAGCCTAGTTACCACCAACCATTCTGGTTCAGTTTAGTTCAGTTAGGTAAACATCGGGATGGTTATTTTTCCGTTTCCTGTGCGAAAAGTTGTGAATTTTACCAATAGAACCATTTCCATTTTTTGTCACCCCTATGTTGGGGCACCTAGCACATGGATCCAATACTAAAAGTTGGAGCTAGAATCACTGCAGTCCATTGACTGGTCACTTGAGAACCACCCTCTGCTCTCTTGCTCAGGGGTGAGTTGTGGCTGTGTTTGAAGCCTGTGTAACCACTCTCCATGCAGTGGCAAAATTTTCATACAATAGTAAACTAACCCGCTGTTCAAAGGCCACTGTCGGCAGCTACCAGATGGAAAGTTTACTTGTAGTGTTACTCTACGCATGAGTTGACGGCGTGAATCAATCAACACACCTTAAATGTCAATATGACGACTCTGACCATTTTTATTATTGCCTCCTGAATGAAATACACTGTAGTGATGATTGGATCTTTAAGAGTTTAAAAAAAAAGTATAAAGTATATCCTATTTCCTCACTTGGAGAAAAAAACAAACGATTGAGTGATGTTCCAATGCGCTCTAGCAGCACTACATTCTTGCGTCTCGCTCGACAAGGACTAAATACACAAACCTGCTATTTTTAAATAATCCATAGAGAGAGACTCTCACTCCAGCCTGTTAGTTTTTGTTCTAAAAATGTTGAGGTGCAGCCCCGTTCTGTGGACAGTGAACGAGGTGGAGAAAATAGCTGGACGGAGCACTGAGTGACAACTGTCTGTGATGGAAACCCAAAACGGATGTATGGCTTAGGTATATATCTGTAGAGGTCTCTTTTGGTTGTAAAGGTACTATACCTTAGTTTTTTGGTAGAACCTGGGCTTTTGTTTCCCTCAGCTTGAAACAATGAAGTTTATTTTGTGATGATAAAATAAAGATAAAACAAGCACTTTTAGTGCATGTAAATTGACCGTGCCCATTAATGTTACATTGCAGTCTTTTTTTGCTGCTGGACCCGTTTTAAATAGTGTTGTCTCCATTAGTTATTTTGACACAAAAACAGGGGAAAATAGAGTCCAGGATGAAATATACAGCCGTTAACCTTAAACAGACTGATACGAGAGGGAGAATAAATGTATTTAAAAAAAACATGTTAAGCTACTCATGTCATTTGTTTTTATCCTAGTTCTTTCACCTGATTGAATGCATGTGATGATTGTAATAACTATAAATACAAATGTCAATGTTATTGCCCACAGCGTCTCGTCAAAAAGGTCCAGGAATCCGTTTTGGATAAGTGGGTCAACGATCCCCACCGCATGGACAAGCGGGTTCTGGCCCTGATCCTTCTGGCCCACTCATCCGACGTTCTTGAGAATGCCTTCGCCCCGCTCCAAGACGACCAGTACGACCTGGGCATGAAGAGAGTCCACACTCTGCTGGAGCTGGAGCCGGAGAAAGAGAGCGCAAAGCCCAATGTGAACGAACTTATGTGGGCCGTGGTGGCTGCATTCACTAAATGAATACACCTGATATGGTTGGACTGCAAGATCTGGCTATGGTCTGTGTTATTTAATTGGTTGAAGGACTTCACTTAATGAGACAATCTATTTTGGTTGGGGAGCCTGTTTGTACATCTATTCCAGATGACATTTTGGTGGCAGTCCATGTTATCTCAGTGCAATCTGATTGGTGGTGGGCTTCCCCAAGTAACATTTGGTTGGTTGGAACAGTCTCTAAATGAAAAATGACTGGCTGCTTCACACAGTGAGGTATATTATCTGCTGCTGCGGGGCTGGATATACTTCTAAACGTCAACACTACAAACAGATGGGTTTCTGTTCATGTTAGATGACATCAAAGAACAAAGCAGATGGCAGCAGTAGTCATGGTGAATATGAAGATTTTGACTGGGGCCAAGTTTCCCTTCTTCACAAAGGAAACATCATCTCTACATTACTACAAGATGTGGCCAGAATCAAATCCTGGTTTCGTCTCCATACTCTCCCACATGCTTATGCAAGGATAAAGGATAGCAAGTCACACTGCTATCGATGCTCTTTGCACTCGTGCAGGTCTCCTGCTTCCACCTATTCATTCCCACTTGTGTTGGGAGTACATGCTCTAGGGTTACTGTTAGAATAGACTACCTGAATGTTTTACTGAGTCACTCTGTCTTCTCATTAATTCTCTTTCCTCCTTTTTTTCCTCAATGCATTTTGAGGAGGAAATGGAGGACACACATAAACGCCTGCATCCTTTAGAGTGAGGCGGGTAATTTGGCCCTCGTAGATTCTGACCAAAATGAAGAATTGAAGTTTGAGTCTAACTAAATTGTTGATCGTATTAGTTGAAATGGGTCCATTCTGTGTTTATAGAATGAGACTAGTCTTCCATTTCTGTTTATGTTGCTAGTCGATGCTTGGAGTAGCCTGCCATTTATCAACTATTTTGCACAGTCAGTAGCCCTGTAAGTAGGAGCGTATTTATAGGGATGATTCTTGGGTTGATCAACACACTTGAGAAGATGGGATTGAGAGTTATGAACCTTAATCACCACGGGGAAAAAAGATCTCATTCATTTTGTCTACAGTTATTAATCTTTATAAATACTTTAAAATCATTCCTTTGGATAGTGTGAGTTGGGATGTAAAAACAAACAGCGATCAATACGTTCTGATTTGGATCGCTGTGACAGCCTACACAGACTTACATCATGATCAGTTTCTTTTATAAATGGGGTGGGACATGTTAGCCGAACTGGCTAGTTTCAATTCAGAAAACCATAAAGGGTCGATTCATCCAAATGTTTTACAAAAAAATCTCACTCAACAGTAGTGGTATATAGCAGTGGAGATAGTTTTATTTCTCAGAGGTATCAGCCTCTATCTTTATACAACAAGGTTAAATGGAATTTCCTTTTAAGATGCTCATCGGCAGTAAAAAAAAAAAAAAAATGTAGAAGCAACAACTCTCCCTGGAGTTTCCACAGATCCACAATATTTACTGTAAACTGTTTTTCTTAAAACTACTTTGCACTAAAAGGATAAATGATCTGTTAACAGCATGTCCCGGGGATTGAATACAGACCAACAGACTGAGACAATGATTTGTTTTTTTCTTGGGTGAGCCGACCCTTTAAAGTTTCCCTCTTGCATTATATTGTATCTATCAGTTTGTATGTCATGTCATAACTACGTGTTATTTCTATCTAATAGGCCCAGGCGGGCATGTTATATCGTTTCATTCATGCAGGTGGTGGGAGGGTTACTGTGGCCCCAGATAAATCCTCATTAAAGACTCAAACTGTTGAAAAACATGCTAATCTATTGGAACAAAAACGATCTCTAGTCATGCTTTGGTGCAGATCTGGGAGCGCTTCTGTTTCCAATATAAAATGATGATTGTAAACATTTTGGTCTGATGAGTGTGATCTGTGTGTAAAGTTTCATCACCTTCTTTTTCATGGCATACTTAAAGTTCTGTCTTTTCTTTCTACCAACAATATACCAGTAGGTATGAAGAACTGTTGAGCTCTGTTTACAGCTAAGAGACCATGCATGCTTTTGGTGGAGGGCTGGGATACTTGTGGATGTAGCTACAGAGAAAAGGCTTGTATGTAATTATTAGTCATTTTATGTGTACGATCTAATGGAATTCAATGAAAGGGATCTTCTCTCCTATCCTCTATAATTCTGTATGCTTTTGTATTACCACACAAAATAAAGTAAGGATCCTTTAAGTGCCTGAATTTAGCACTGTTTTGCTGTTGTCGTTTTTTATTCTTATGAATTAACTTTCTGTGCGTTTTTTTTTCCCATCCAACTTGTTAAATAGTCCCATAAATTATCACATGTAGTTACACAAATAACATCAGGTGCATCATATTCACCCAGTGCTGAAATAAATAGTGGACTATTTGATCAACTTAAAAACTGAATGTCTTTGATACTTGGTTAATAAAGTAATTTATTAAGCAACAATGCCAACCTAGCTGGGGTGCTTTTGAAATATGAGAATATGCAGCTTTTTCTACTATAAACTGAATATTTCTGGACTGTTACCCAGACAAAGCAAGCAATTTGAGGACCGCACAGCTTTGGGATATTATGATGACCATTTGTCACTAAAGGGTTAACTGGAGAAATAAGCAACGCATTTAACACTTTGGGAAATATGCTTAGTCCTTTTTTTGCCAAGAGTTACATCAGAAGACTGACACCATGTCTGTACACTATATGAAGTTACAGCCAGTAGCTGCTTAGCTTAGCTTAGCACAAAGCATGAAAACAGAGGGAAACAGCTAGCCTGACTGTCTAAAGTGAAAGAAAAATCGGTTTATAACGCCTCTAATTCTTATAAATGAAAAAGTTATAGCCTGTTTGATTAATCTGTACAGAAATGTAAAAATTACTAGCTTTTTTTTCAGTCATTATGCTAAGCTAAGCTAAGTAGCTGCCGGCTCCAGCTACATGTACAGCCAAAAGACTGGTGTGAAACTAACTGTTAACTGCAGCCTATATTCATCAGTTGTCCGCTCTCACAATCACTAAAGTGAAGTCACATTGTGTTTTGGTAGATTACCAAAAAAACCCACTTAAAATTCTGAAGACTACCTTAACTGTTCCTTTTATTAATATACTTTATTAATCCCTGAGGGGAAATTAATTTTTTTCACTCTTGTTGTCAATTACACACAGGTCCAAACACACACATGCACAAACAGGACCTATACATGCTTAAGTGGGGAGATGTCAGATTGAGGGGGCTGCCTTGGTAAGGCGCCCCAAGCGAGGGGGTTTGGTGCCTAACTCAAGGGCACCTCGGCATCACCCAGGAGGTGAACTGGCACCTCTCCACCTACCAGTTCACGCTCCATTTTGGTCCGGACAGGGACTTGAACAGGCAACCCTTCCCAACCAAGTCCCTATGGACTGAGCTACTGCCGCCCCAGAACTTTTAATGTAATTTTGCTATGTTTCTATAAAGAAAATTTGTCAGCAAGTAAAATATATTAGAATCTTTGGACCTTCAAACACATCAAGAACCCCAAGCTCACTTCCATGACCTGGTGAGGTAAAATTGGACGGATATGTTTGTATTTATTTTTAATGGCTAAATCCATGTATCAGTAATTTGTTGAATCAGTAATGTAATCGGTAACTATTCTTAAAAAATATATTGTTTAATTTTTTTGCCATGCTATCCCTGTACTTTTGCTGCCTGTTTCCTTGTTGCCTTGTATACAGTGGACAGGCATGTGTATAGAATGAATGGCTGATTCTGAAACACTAAAAATGTCTGTAATATTACAGGGTGGCACACAATAATATAAATCATGATTTATGGCACCTGGTAGTCTAAAACATGTTGGTTTCACTTCAGAAAAATGTCCTGCTTTTAGCTTAATTTTTTTGTTCCACTTTACCTGAATGCATTAAGTACTCATTCAAAACCCTGTCCCATAAAAAGTAATGTAACATTCTTTTTATATGTCAAACATTTAACAAAATGCAACATCCTACAACCATTTTTGGTGATACATCCTTGTAGTTGTAGCCGCAGTACTATTACCTTGCGAGTTCTGGAACCAGTGATTTTTTGACTCTTTGCTTTGCCCATCCTAGTTATCTCAGAACTTAAATTTTTTTTTTATTATGTTCTGTTTTATGCAAAGAACAAAACAACATATTGTTTTATGTAAAGAACAAAACAACATATTTGGTGATTGGCAGCTAATATTTAGTGTCCAAGATGTTAACCCTTAGTTGTTCCTTTTTACCAGACATCACCCAATAATACACATGACAAGATATTCCACTTGATTATGAATCTTTTATTAGCAAATCATGATAAACTTCCCATTAGAAAGACATTTACAAGTCTTGAGAAGTAGCTAACAGAGTCCCACTTCTTCAGTTGACATAAATGTGACAGACTGATAGAGCATAACATGCATACATGTCCATATGTACAGCAGTATGTACAGAGTACATGTGACGATCAGCATTCTTCAGCAGATGACCCCCATTCAGATGTTCCACATTGGTTCCAGTCACCCATGGGTTTAAGTCAGTGGATCAACAGCATCCCAGACATTTGGCTTTCTCTGCAGAGCTCCAGTCTTGAATATGACAACAGTCCACTGACAGTTCACATCCAGTATATCCATCAGGGTGTTTCCACAGGCTTACATCTCACTTGAGAGACACCATTTTGCCTCCAATGATGAGTCAGAGTCAAAGACTCTTGTGCATCAGCTCTGAACGCCATCCAGTTTAAATTCATTTCCTCTTTCCTTTTCACTTTGACGTCATGTCTCACTTGATTTTAGAAACAGTCTTATAGTTCTTCATCAGTATTTCCAGCAATTTGTATCTCCAGTACAGTCCATCTCCAACCTGACGCAGCTCATGTGCGCAGTAATCAATTGTGGCAGCAAGTTCTGAGGGAGAAAGACACATAAGTTGAGTATCTAAAATCTAGGTCACATACAAATCGCTGAAGCCTAATTACAACCAGGTAGAGATCAGTGAAAACTTTTTACTCACCGTGGCTGGCCATTTTCAAAGTGCTCCTGTCTGTTCGGATGAGAGAAGAGAAGCTTTAAAGGATCAGTTTTTCTTCTGCGTCTGTGCTTTTAAAGCTGTGTAGTTGTGGCTTGACAAGAAGGAACAGGTTGAACTATTGATAGCAGTCCAAGCTTTATACAGCTGTGTGACGTAAATTTATGGCAGAGGAATCCCCGTCGGCTACAGCCAAGTTCCTCCCACTTCTCTGTTTGCAATTTTATGAGTAGCGAGTGTAATCAGTAGCGTTACATAAAACTGTAAATAACACATATCTGTACCTGTATTGTTTGTGCCAGATGGTTGGTGTTTGTGCTTTAAGTTTTGATCAACATAAACATGCTGATGTGAGCACATATGGAAATACTGGTTACAGAAATATGAAAACAACATATCATGATGAAGTCTGACCATATTAGAAGATTAATTAAACATTCAAGGTTACTGAGTGATGATGTAGCCTAAAGTAACTTTACATAGAAAGCACAAACAACTCTCCAGGTGCACTATGTCATATGATGTAAGACATGACCATGCTGTTCAATAGATAAAGGCTGAATTTTAAGAATGAACTTAACCTTTACAATCCCACCATAAAGATAATAGTTTGCAGGAGCATCAGTGGCTGATTCTGTGTCCTGAGGGGCTGATGGTGATTAGATATTTAAACACAGTTGTTGTTTTTGAGAATGTAGAGCACGGTCATAACACTGTCATTTGAGGGATTATGTAAACAAAAACACAGCATATTCAAAACACCATGTCATATGATCAATAGACAGAGTGTTTATTTCACATAAAAAAAAATGCTTGACAGGCTGCTTTAGCAAACATGACTACCAACAACATCAGAGTGGACAACTTTCATTGGCTGCATTCACTGACATCACAGAGGCATTTCATTCAACCACCAGCCTCTAATTAAATTACACACAGCAGGGCGGTGACTAAATGCACCACAAGCTGACTAACAAGTATGAAATGTCGAAGATATATATGTGCATTGCATTTTATTTAAACTCCCATGATTCTTCCCCAAAATGGCATATGGCATAAAGTCTTTATACTCTGCCCAGCAGACATCATGAACATGTTAAGGCTTGCCTCGAAGCTATCTCTTCCTCTCTGCACAAACAGGGAAGTACCTGGGAAATACTGCAGTCTGTGTCAGGTGATCTGAGCAGCGCCGGCTGAATTACTGTGACACAAGTTAAGTCCATTTAAGGAGAGGAAATAAAGTGTAAAATGATTGCAGAACAATGAGGAGGATTACAGAAAGTTATGAAAGGCACCTTTTGATGTACATAAAAGGAGAAAGGCAGTGGTGGAAGAAGTACTCTGATATTATGCTTAAGCAGAAGTAGCAATACCACAGTGTAGAGATGCTTACAAGTACAAGTGCTGCAATCAAATTTTTACTTAAGTAAAAGTACAAAGATTTGAATATTGTTAAATTACCAAAAGTATCATTATGCAGAATGGCCTATTTCAGAATATGTTATATTACTGTATCATAATTAATGACGCATTAATGTGTTCATCAGTTTATGTTGCAGCTGGTAAACATGAAGATCATTTTTATGACTTAAGTTTTTTGAATTTCAAACTTTTCAGCAACACCAAACTACCTAAAAAGGAACATAAATAGATAAAAAAAAAACGGAACAACACCAGACAGAAAAATATAGTAAATAAAATAGGTAAGGACTGACTTATACTAAAAGATAAAATGGAAGCAAATAAATCATAATAATGAAAACAATAAACTGCAGTAAATCAGCTACAGCTAAGGGGGGTTCATTGAGGCCAGTTATAACCATGTCCATCCTAAATATAAACAATAATAACCAAATTGTATTTTGAAACAAAATATTGGGACAAACTGGATCTTCTCAGGGGCCCAAATGGCTCAATTTACTGCATGTAGGCGACCATTTTGCATATATTGTGTGTGCAACTGCTGCTCATTTGATTATACTGTTTATTATACGGTTAAGATAATGGTATTAACATGACATGTAAGTATACTTGTGAGATTCCAACCATACTTCTGTTAAATGTCCACTCACACTCCATCTTAGACAAGTGTCAAAATAGTGTGCATGTAATAGTGTCCACATTAATATTTCCTTTGGCTGCACCATCACCACATCCGCCCTCCTGCACGCATTACAATCCCAACAAGA